GCTTGCCTTCATGGACTTCCGTACGGGCATCTCGGAGGAGGTCACAGCCAGCGATGCCTCAACCAGTGGAGGAGGCCTCTGTGTGAGCGCAAAGAGTTGTCACCCTACGGGCTAGCAGCAGCCCAGGCCCAATGCAGGGGAGATGTCCTCTCCCAAGATGATGTGGAGCCTATACTTGTGGTGTCCCTGTTTGATGGCATAGGAGCATTGCGCGTGGCTGTGGATGCCTTAAGGGTGCCAGTGGCAGGTTATATCTAGATCTCGGAGGAGGCCAGGCGTGTTGTGGAGAGCTGGTTCCCGGACGTCAAGCGCATCACGGACGTGGCGCTCATTGACGAGAATGAGGTCAGTAGCTGGAGCCTGTTATACCCTATAGTGTGTGCCGTCGTGCTGGGCGCTGGACCACCTTGTCAAGGTGTTTCAGGTTTAAACTCGGATCGCAGGGGCGCGCTGAAAGACGCTAGGTCATGTTTATTCAGTCATTTCCCCCGAGTCGAACAGTTGCTTCGGAGGTTCTTCCGCTGGTGTCCCGTCTTTCGCCTCTCCGAGAACGTGGCATCAATGGATGTTCAAGACTGCCGTGTGATGAATGAGGCCTATGAAGGGGCCCCTTGGTTGATCGACGCTGGAGGCGTCAGCATGGCACGGAGGCCGCGTTTGTATTGGGTCACTTGGGATCCAGTGAACCTTGAAGGAGCCACCCGAGACACAGAGGTGACTCACAGGTTGCCGTTGGCAGGCCGTGTGCAGTTGCAGGTTGAGATCCAGGAGAAGGACTTCCTTGAGCCAGGGTGGCGTCGTTGTGAGCCTACACAAGTGCTCCCTACATTCACGACCTCCAGGCCATCGCCTACGCCTGGCCGCAAGCCTGCTGGCGTTGAGATGTGTTCCCCCGCAGAGTTGACCAGGTGGAAAGAAGATCAACATCGCTTCCCGCCTTACCAATACAAGTCGGTGAATTGTGTGACCAATGGGGAACAGGTCAGGGTGCCGAGTGTACGTGAGCGTGAGTGCATCCTTGGCTTCCCATTGGATTATACAGCCAAATGTCAGCCCAAGAGCCAACAGAACTCGACGGCTTGGCAGGATTGTCGGTTGACGCTGCTTGGCAATACTTGGTCGGTGCCCGTGGTGTGCTACTTGTTGCGTTCGCTTTTCCTCACTCTTGGCTTGAATAATCCGTTGACCATGTCGGAGATCGTTTCCCGCTTGACTCCAGGGGAGGAGGATAGCCTCCCAAGTTTGCTCTTGCGACCTCCATTGCGACGCACTACTCTAGCAGGTGGGCCAAGCCCAGGCCTAGTCCGCCGTCTCTTGGGTCAGGTGTCGGTGAAGGGTGAGGACTTGTTGTTGCAGATGGGCAGCGATATTCCAGCGCGCTACCACAGGCTTAGAGCTTCAATCTCGGGGAAGTTGTGGCGATGGCGAGAAGTCGCCGGGTGGCAATGGACAGGGTCTGCAGAACACATCAACGTCTTGGAATTACGCGCGGTCAAGACTGCCTTGTCGTGGCGGATCCGGGAGCTCAAGGAGCAGCGGACTCGGTTCTTGCACCTTGTTGACTCGTTGGTTGTACTACATGCACTTAGTCGAGGACGATCCAGTTCCAGGAAGTTGCGTCGAACGCTTGCCAAGATTTCCGCACTGCTGTTGGCCAGCGGCCTTCAAGGTACTTGGGGGTATATTGATACCCATCAGAATCCGGCCGACAAGCCGTCGCGCCGGCAGCTTCATCGCAAATGGGTAAGAAAACGTCTAAAGTAGTGGAAGGTCGGAGTCAACAGCAGAGAAAAGCGGTTAGAAAGAATCTTGGTAAACTGAAGGATCTTACGGTACAACCTCGAACCCGTCAACGATATGAAGCCAGCCTCCAACAGTTTTATTCCTGGTTGGAAAGGGAGGGACTCGCCCTCCCAACCCAAATGGACAATCTGGTCAGTGACTATTTAGAATTCCTGTGGGCCGAAGGTCATGGGAAATCGGAAGCCGACAATGCTTTAGCTGCGCTGCAGGACTTTGACCCAAACCTTCGTCGGAAGCTGCCTGGGAGTTGGCGCTTGCTCAAAGCGTGGTCGACAGCCGAAATTCCCAACCGGGCTCCCCCGATGACCCTGGGGATCCTTGATGCGCTCTGCGGCTGGAGCGTTATGCAGGGTAAGCCCGAGTTCGGTCTTAGCCTGCGGTTGGCCTTCTTCGGTTTGCTACGTACCGGTGAACTTCTGAGTCTGACCAACAGAGATGTCTATATCACCAGCCCCAAGGGCCCAGCTGTCATTTCACTCGGATTGACGAAGTCTGGAGCTCGCCAGGGAGCTAGTGAAAGTGTTACCATCCATGAAGCCTCCGTACTGCCTTCCTTGTACAGTTGGAAAAGGCGCACCTCCGCGTCGTCCTTTTCAACCTCTAAACCGCATGCCTGGCGCAAACTTTTCAACCAGGCCCTCGAAAAGCTCCAGCTCACAGAGCTCGGTCTCAGGCCCTACTCGCTTCGGCGAGGGGCGCAACGTTCTTTTTCCAACACCACAGAAGTTTCGATAAATTGCTGCTTCAAGGCCGGTGGGCCGCAGCAAAAACCGCACGAATATACTTGAACGAAGGTCTTGCGCAGTTGTCAGAGCTCAAGGTCCCTAATTCGCGGCTGCGGATGTACTGTTCCTTCTACTTTCAAAACCCGATACTTGAGCCTGGGACCCCTAAGGGTCCCAGATCAGGGGGACGTGGAAAAGCCAATAAAATCGCCCTTTTTTCTGCATGACGGGGGTTGAGGGTGAAAACCCCCAAAAGAAAACCTTCCTGAAAGAGAGTTGCAGGGAAGTTTCCTCTAAAGTGTTCGGGCCCAGGGGGCTCCGGTCTGGCGGACGCAGTCCTGGGGGGCACTGGGGGGCACTCACCTTTCTCTGGTCTGGCGGGAAAGGTGAGTGTTGGTGCCCCAAGAGGAGTGAATTCAGGTTGTTGCGCACCCAAGGTGCTTGGTTTCTGGACAAACTTGCTGCAACGCGTGAAAAAAGATCGGTGGCTGTGTATATATATATATATGCTACCACCCCCCCAAATGTCTACCTTTTTGGCTTGTTTGCATGTTTTTACTTGCTGTTGCCTTGTAGTTGGGAGCAGACATATGAAAAGATTTTGGCAAAATGAATGACACATGGACATCAATGAAGCCAGATGTTTTGAAATGATACGTTTTTGCTTTGCTTCCATGTTTTTATTTGATATTGCCTTGTAGTTGGGCGCATATATATATATATATGAAAAGATCTTGGCAGAATGAATGACACATGGAGACCAATGAAGCCAGACGTTTTGAAAGGATAGCAATGAGGGAATAGGGCAAGCTGAGTCCTTGGAAGGGTGTCTATGTTTGAATGGGGCAAGGAGCAGCCGATGCAAAGCAACAATCGTTTTCATTTTCCACTGGCTAGCTCTTGCTAAGGCTTCGCCATGATGTCTGACATATAGTCGTGCAGCAGGTCCCCAGTGCATGACGATAGGTCATTGCCCCGGTGCCGGGCTGCCCGAATTTTGCGCGGAAGCCTTGCCATGCCAGCCCGGCAGCCCGGTCCTTTAGACAGGCGTTCCTTCAGGAACTTCCAGCACCGGTCAATGTGCTGAGTGCCAGCCTTCACTTTCAGATGTTTACCATCAGGAAGCTTGTGGCTGACAACCTCAACGACTGAAGGCTTCGTCCACACCCATTTGCCCTTCAGTTTGATTCTCTTTTTCTGGTGGACAACAGCATCGTGAATCGCTCCAGGAAGCTTGAGCTTGTACGCCTTGGCGGAATCCGTGTGGAAGATGATTTTCCTGTTGGCAAGATGCTTCTGGGCAAGAGGCTTCCAATCTTTCTTAGTGATGGGTCCTGGGCCAGGAGGTGAGAGGAGGTTGGAGACGAGCGAGAACCAAAGTCTCAGGCCTGCCACGCTGAACGAGGCCACACCATTGCTCCCATAGAAGGCAGTGATCTCCTTTGATCTGATGGCTCAGTTCGGCATCATTGGTGAGGTCTCTCTTATCAAACGTGGCTTCATCCCCCTCAACATCAGCCCACATCGAATTCTTGCCAAACACAATGCTCTTCTCGCGCTTCTCCACATACTTTTTGCGGACACACTCCAAACGCCTTTGCATCCCTTCTACTGCCTTGTGGTTGACGCCCAGGATGAGGTGAATGGAACTCTGGGCCACTCGAAGGAGAAGGAGCAAAAGTATGCCTGCTTGGATTTGAAGTGATAGAGCCTCTGGCCCGCGGCAAGCTTGAAAAACAGGATGCAAGTAATGGGGATGGATCCTTTGCTGGCAAGCCTTCCTTGAGCACCTGTACTTGGCCGCAGTGTCTCCACAGTGGACTTTCAATGGTGAAAGCGTGCTCATTGCACTTCGGGCAAAGCTTGCCTTTCAAATTCGGAAGTATTTTGTCCTTGATCAGGAATCAGCAATTTGACAATCTGAAAGTCCGAGCAGCTCAAAATTTCGACCAAAGTGCGCTTCCAACGTGTCTGGTGTTTGCGGAGACCACTTCCTGGAACAGCGCGCTTGCCACGGACATACTTCACACTGTTCCACTCCTGAGACTTCGTAGACGCAGGCCTCTTCGCAACCATCCGGCCCTTGCCCTTCTTCGGGCCTGGAAAGTTCAGGAACTTTGGCGCCATGACTCCCAGTGCCACTGGCAGGACTAAAGCTTATAGCAAGCCTTGAACGACAAAGCTTGCAGCCAGACAGAGTAGCACTGACATGAAATCGAGACAATCTCTGAGCAACAGAGTTAGGTATGCAAAGCGACACACAGAACAATTTGGCCAGGCATGCACATCACTTTTTTCGTGGGCAAGGAATCTTGAGCAGACTGTCAGCACGGAGCAAGGGTCAGCAAGGATCGCACTTTTTCATGCTGGCAGCGGACGCTGTAGCCTTGCAGTTTATACGACAGACACATGAGTATGTCGCTGGCGCATGTGTCTCATGACCAAATTGTCACGAGGCAGGGGCGCCTAAGCCTACTCAGAATGCAAGCCCATGTCAATTGCAGCCGCCTCATCAGCATCAAGGTCGTTCTGCGAAGCTGCAGCTGCATCCAGGTCCTTGTGTGAAGTTGCATCTTGGAGTGGCGTTGGAACGTCAAATCCCACTTCACTTGGAGAGCTCTTCTTTCGGGCTCGTTTGGCCGTAGAAGGTGGGTAGTGAAAGCTGCCCCTTCAACGTGGCGATACACAGGTGGAGGAAGGACCTGAGAGCTTTCGTCTTGACTTTCTTGGGAAGAGGGTAGCCATGTTTCGCGGATGTTGCTGGCACGAATGTTGAAGAGGCACTCCAGCAACTCCTCATTGATGTCAAGCATGTACTGGGTCGATTTGGAATAGCTCAGGTAGCGACTCATACTTTCCGCAATCATGCTTTGTTCACGGCCCACGGATTCATCATAATGTTCTGGTTTGTCCACGGATCCACTCTTGTACTTGCCATAGAAGAGCTTATCACCTTCAGCTAGAACATCTTTGTGCAAGTCATCCACTTGAATGCAATGGATGGGTGACTCAGACTTTTCACTAGGGAATCGAACATACAGCGCAGAGAGGCCAAAGACGAAGACTACAGTCCGTCTGAGCATTGCCATGATGTCACTGATGTCTGCAGGCTTATCGCCAGGGAAAGTGCGATGAACCAGTTTCATGAACTCCTCCATGGTGATGTCAATGCGCTCATCATTTTTTGGTTCATCGTCCTTCTGGATATCGTCGCTGGCATAAGCCCTACAACAGTTCTTAGCAAGCTTCACATCGTTGTACCGTCCTTGGCACCTTTGGCTCTCTTCAATCTTGTCTCGATAGGGATCGTCCAAGAAGACACCTTCGTGCACTTGTCTGACCCTGTGCCTGAAGTTGTCCAAAGACTTGGCCCGTCGCCGCCCAGGGAGAGTTGGTAGGTCGAGCTTTTCCTTGTGGTACCGACCCATGGCGAGCGTCATAATGATGATGGCGGGGGTCTTGCCAACGCCTGGCCAACCAAGGAACATGAAGGCATAGTTCAAGAAGAGAGGGTACAAGAGCGGCAGCAAAGTCTTCGCCAAGAAGGGCTTCAAGGAAAAAGTTTGTATTGGAAAGTCGTGCTCGAGTCCGGCGCCAGCAGATCCTTTCGATTTGTTTTGGGCCATCGCTCGCACCTTTGCTTCGGGCCACCCAGAAATTGGAGTCCCTGCTCAATAATACTGTTGGTTTTGGGAATCGCGCTCAGCGCATTGTCGTTGATGTACTGAATGCCTGCAAGCAGCTCTTCATCTGCAGGGGCCCACTGAGAGCTTTGGGTTCGGCGAAGAGCCATAGACTTGCTGTTGGCTGTGAGGCTAAACCATGCCACATGCAGCCCCGGCAATCGTTCAATCAGGGATACGACAGCCTTCTTCAAAGCCCATGGTCCTTGTCGGAAGACAATTGCATAGGGAGTGCCCCTACAAAATTTGCCAACCTCCTTGGCTGGTAACGAGTTCTCAAAGTGCAAGATCTTCAGCGCTTGGAAAGTCCCATCCTCCATGTTGCGAACAACAAGACCCAAACGACATCCTGGAGGTAACTGGCACGGAGGCCGGATGCTCTGAGGCAAGCGCTGTGAATCAGGCTTGCGCGCCCACTCGCCCAGTTGACTGGCGGCTGCAAACTCTGGAACCGACATCTAACATCAAGGAGCCAAGCTGTAGTCTTCACGCCAAGCAGATGGCGACAAGCAGCTGCAAGAAAGGTGGCTAAAGAAATGGGCGCTTCAATGCTATTCCCCTCCTTGGCGATGCGTGTGGGTGTAGTCAAAACCTGCAAAGTCCAATCCTTACTTCCATATACTTGCTCAAAGCAGCGTCCAAAAGAGCTGATTCAGTCGCCATTGAGTGAAAGAAGAGACTACTATTATGAGAATCTTACAGCCACAGACTGGGGGTGGACAAAACATTTATTTTTTCATTTCGTTTTCGTTTTCATCATCATTTTTTTTCATGCCCATTTGTGTCTTTTTTTCATGTAAATGTGTGTTTTCGTTTGCATCATCATCTTTTTTACACGCCCACCGGTGCTTTTTCATGCGTGATTGCGTTTATCGTTTGCGTCCCCTGAAGCCAAGGCTGCCAAGTCACTTACTCCTGAACCCTCTTTGCTACCCGCTGCTACCCTGGTCGGCTAGTCACTTTCTTCTATTTTGCTTTAGCTGTTGTGAAATGTACTTAAACTGTCGTTCACG